AAGAGGTAAAACTGTATTAGTATAGTTCGATTCCTGGTACAAAAAAAAAAAAAAAGAAGAGGTAAAACTATAATAGTATAGCCAGACATAGTGGCACATGCCTATAATCACAGCACTTGGGAGCTGAGGCAGAAGGATCACCACAAGGCCAAGCCTGACCTACATAGAGAGTTCAAGGCCAGTCTGAAGTAGTGAGACTCTTGTCTCAAAAAAACAAAAACCGTAATAGTCTAGAACATAGTATTATAAGTTGATAAGGACAAGAAATGAATACAAGGGAGGCTTTGCCCATTTGTATTTCCAAGACAGGATGGTAGTAAGGGACCCATATGATACCATCAGATTATGGGCCTTGCACTAGGTAGTCTGCTAGGGTTACTGCACCATAGACTGAGTAGCTTAACCAGCAGAACTTTACTTTCCCACAGTTTTGGAAGCTGGTAGCTCAAGATTAAAGTGCTAGTAGAGCTGATTTCTCCTGAGGCCTCTCATGGCTTGTACACAGACACCTTCTCTTATTTCCTGTGTCTCTTCCTCTTCTTATCAGGACATTGATCCTGAAACCTTTGGATTTCATTTCATTTCAACTATGATTACCTCTTCAGGGGGCCCAGCTCCAAATACATTCACATTGAAGTTAGGACGTCAACCTATGAATTTTGGAGGGTGCAGTTCAGTCCATATAATACTTGTGGAGTGTTGAACATGTTGATAAGTACTGACAGGCCATGTAATTTGGTTCTCTAAGAAGAGAATATGGTTATCTGTGGGCACTCCGATAGGAAGTCAGTGAATGACCTTACAGTAGGTCTTGTGGACCCTAGTACCTCTGAAAGAGTTCTTTCATGTGAACCCTTGTAGAAAATTCAATAAAAGTTTTCAGACTTCAGTTTGATGAGCTCCAGATTGTCAGTAGTTTAGAGCATGTCACAAGCCTGAGGTGGGACTTCCGAAATGATGCTGGCCGCTAAGCCAAATAAATGTCCCTTACTGTCCTTCCCAGCAGCCACCTAGGGCTCAGGTAAATAGTCATGCAGTGACCTCATATTTGCATAGAACTCATTAAATCTGTGCTGTTTCACTGGTGTAGCAGAACCAGGACACAGAACAACAGGAATAAGCACCACAGAGTTCCTGGATTGGGGCTGTGAGTGTCATGAAAGGAGCACAGTGTGATCCAGGACGGCTGATCTTCCAAGCACAGATGACTGCTTAACTGCTGCTGTCCAAAAATGTGTTTTAACTTCCTTACTTCTGTGCTGCTTTTTCACCTGATTTGGTTCTACACAGAAATGGCCTAAAAATATGTTTGTTTTTTTTTTTAAAAAAAAGAAAAATCTAGATTTAAGTCCTGACTCTACCACCTACTAGTTCACTTGACTTTAGCCAACTTATTAAATTCTCTAGACATCAGTTTTTCACTTATCGAATGGAAATGTGAATACATGTGCTCACAGAGCTGTCAGGAGGCTTCACATGTCATGAGGTGACACACAAACCGCTAGCACAGTGCCTAGAACGCAGCAGGCATTCCGCACATTTTAATTAGCTTTTTTATAACTGTGCGAGCTAAGAAAATGAAAGAGAAGACATTTGGAGGAGAAAAAACAAAGGGAATAATGAGAGGTTTCATTTTCATGAGTGGTTTAGCATCAACATTCTAAAGTTATAAAAGACTTACAAACCAAAACAAAATCCTACATTGCATGTTACAAATTACTATGCTAGGCAGTATAATAAGCATTACATTTGAACCATTTTAATGAAGTTGCTATTATTGCCCTTACAGCATGTGGCAGCAGCTAATTCCAAACTTACTCATTATTCTGTTGACGGGTTAATAAATAAAATGGTTTTGTGAACACGAATGGAATCCACTGCTCGTAACCCTTCTGTGTGTTCCCGTTGGACCCATGAGTGTGAACTCCAGCATTTGCAATCTGACTCTACTTACTCACTTCCCTTAGTTTCCCCAGCTCTTCCATGTTAGCTGTCACCCATAACTCCAGGCTCCCACCGTACTGAGTTATTTGGGGTTTCTTTTCCCTGTATTCCCACATGCTGTAGAACCGAGCTAAGACACATCTCTCTCCACCTGACTAATTCCTGCTTGTGCTTTAGTTCCCCTGCAAAGCCTGAGTGAAGTACCTCCTTTAAAAATTATCCTGTTTACCATCGTATATTTAGTCCCTAACACAATACAAGGTATGTTAGGATTTCAGTAGTTTTTAAGTGAAGGAATCAATACTCAACCTAATTGCAAAGGATTATAATGATGATCTTCCATTTTCTATAATCTGGTTGTGCAACCTGTGCATTTCAAATCCTTTTTTTATTGGTGGTGGTGTTGATTTGGGGGCAGGATATTGTTTATGCTTTGTGTTTTGTTTTGATTGGAAACTTTATTTTACATGAGTACATTAAGTACGTCAGTTACAACACATGATGTAGTGAATTATCACCATACTAGCCACAATCACGCTGCTTGTTCTCAAGTGTACACAGTACTCATGTGTTATGTCTGTACTCCAACTGCTCATTTGACCGTAAGTCTGGAGTTCATCTGTTTACATAGGTGTTTATGTCTTGGCCAAAAGCATCCATTTCCAGTATTTACAAATACTTAATTGTAATTTTTTTAGCATTTGTTTCAAGTATTAACATCAATAATATTTATTTGTATTTAATTATACATTATTATTTTATCATTTAATCATCCCTTGTGTGTTGCAACAGACGTACTAAATGTGTCCATGTGACTGACGATCTTGACTGGAGCTAATTTTGGAGGTAGGGCTTGCATTATGAGTGTTCTGAAAAATCATGATAGGGATTATTTTCAGGTTGGGCCTCATTTTTGGGAAAATATAGTAAACTCTTATTATTTTACTATCTAGTCTTTGCTTAAATTAAATACTTAAAATGAGTTTTCTTTATTTTTTAATCACTTAGCTTTTACTAAATGCCTTATAAGGTTCAATAACAAAGACTTGGAAAAGAGTGAAAAAAGGGTGGGCTTTTCCCACCTCAAGTTTTTATGTTCTTTTCAAAATACACTTACATCAAAATATGATAGTCTTTTAGACACAAATATGAGTTAATAACAGAAGTTTTAAAGTGACTGATGACCTATGCATGTGGTGGCATAATTTTATAATAATATAAAAGTTAATGTTTTTGTTTTAAATTAACAATTTTTATACACTGGAGTATTACTGAGCTATAAAGATAAACTTGAGGCTTTCATAGGCAAATGGATACAAGTAGAGACCATTTGTTTTGTTTTGTTGTTTTGCAGTGCTAGAAATTGAACCCAAGGCCTTACAAATGCTAGACAGGAACTCTACCGCTGAGCTTTGGTCCCTACCTTTTTTGTAGTTTTTTTTTTTTCTTTCTTTTTTAATTTCACCTTTTTTGTCTTAATTTTGAGACAGAATTAAGGGTCTCTAAATTGCCCAGGCAGTCTTCAAGCTTGCAGTCCTCCTGCTTCAGCCCCCTTAATAGTTGGGTTTACAAGTTTAACCCCATTTACATTTTCAAACCTTTTTAAAATAGGGAGGGAAAAAACAGTACAGTAAATGTATTTTTCAGTATACATATCATTATGCCCTGCTTTATCCAGTGCATCAGGTCTAAAATGGATTGAGATCTCCCTCCCTTTAGCTGCCAGGAGGGATTCTTAAATGATGTGCAATCACTGCCATATGACTTAGACTTGAATTTTTCAAAACACAAAAGTCAAATATAATGATTACTGTAACAACACAAAGAAGTAGATGTCATAGAGAGGGCTTTCCTCATAAATTTGTATATAGCAAAACTTAGCTTATAGGGGTATACTGAAAGATAGGCAAAAGATTTAGCCTGTTGATTTAAAACCACAAAACTGTATCTTTTTCTAGAGAAATTTATGTCTAAAAAAGAAAAAAATGACAATAAACTAAGTAATCCACAGTAGAGTTATACAATCAGGTTGTCCTGTTGGGCTTTTCCTTTTGGCAAAACTATTAACCTTGTGAAGAATTCTCCTTCAGATGCATCTGCCTGGCACAGAGACTGAGATCTAAAGGTGTAGTATAAAAACTTCTAAGAAAGTGAATGGCATGAGAGCTTTTTTTTAATTTACTTCACAGTAATTTACTTTAAAAAATTCACATCTGCTATTTTGAAGCTAATCGTAGTGTGTTGGATGCCCTTAACCATTTCTCAATCCCACAGTCTTTTATCTTGCCTCTCCTCCTGTGTTCCCACCACCCCTGATCCCATTAGCAAACCTTGAGACAGCCTCAGACTTACCAAAGTACTGCTTTGGTTTCAGCTGCTGTTCTGCAAGAGGAAGTGAGTGTTGGGGGTTTCTCTGTGGCACAGTTGTGATAAAGCTGTGGTGGTCTTATCTCTCTTTTAGGTAGTGGCTCTTTATGACTACACAGCGAGCCGATCAGATGAACTAACCATCCATCGCGGAGACATTATCCGAGTGTTTTTCAAAGATAATGAAGACTGGTGGTATGGCAGCGTAGGAAAGGGACAGGAAGGCTATTTTCCAGCTAATCATGTGGCTAGTGAAAGTAAGTTTTATGCTCCCTTCCTGGTTTACTAATATGGTATAACTGACAGTCCAAGATTTTGTCATTTTCTACTCTTTAATTTACTGTCTTTATAATCTTTTCCTGTGTTTACCAATAGGTATTACTTTTCATACTCACGATGCAAGAAATAAAAAGGGGAGGCACTAGTATGTCAGAATGCTGCCTCATTCTGAGATTGGAATATTTGCGGATTGCACTTTCATCCCAGGAGACTTGCCCTTCGGGCGCCCAGCTTGTTCCTCTAGCCCTCGCCCCCTCCCACCTGCTGCACACGCAGTTTTGTCCCCCTTTCTCTTGCTACACTGACTCCTCTGTTGACCAGTGTCTGAAGAGCCTCTAGTTCCTCAACTCCTGCTCTTTCATTTTGTGTGTCTCAGTCCGAGCTGGTTACCTAATAAAGCAAAAGTACAGTGGCTTCATTCCTATATACACAAAGCCTCCATTTGTAAAAGGAAAAAACAATGAGCTAAAGACAAAATTCACTGAGTTTCTGAAAGATGTAGATTCAGTCCTAGGCTTTGAGGGGTGAAAACAGAACTAATGCCAAAAGCTTGAAAATAAAATAACTTAAAACTATCACAAAAGGGGAAAACTGAGAAGTAGGGCTTTTTAGAAGAGTGCATCCTATCAGCAGCCAACCTGACCCTGTGTTAGGAAAGGACATCTCAGAGGGGTCGGGAAAACAGATTTCTAATCCTTGCTTAGCAGCTTGTACTGCTGTGCCTCCTATAAAATGGAGATGTTGAGGTTTGTCAACTCTGAGCTTTCTTCCAGAAACATTTAAAGTCATATGGTTTGGGCTTAAAATGTAATAACTTGAGAGCACTCTATTTTCAATATTTATTGTTAATTTTGTTTCTGAGAAGTAATGGTTATAAATAATAGTTTGTTTTCAGACTAGTCCATGAAATCCCATTTGATCCAAACTATGATTCCTAACCTAAGTTACCAACTTTGAAAACAAATTATGTGAAGAAAAGGAGGAAGAATTTCTTCTTTGATCACGCAATGCACAGACAGGTCTAGATACAGTTATTTATCTGTGGCGTCTGGCCGGTACCTGGTCCTTCCCAGTACTCTGCTTCCCAGTCTCAAGTGGCCCCGAGTCTCTTTACAGCTCTCTTGTTCAGCCTACAAGGGGTGATGCAAAAATACAATGAATGTTTCGAGTATTTTTAATGTATTGAAGTAAAAGACACATGCCATTGATCCCCCTCAGGATACTCCCCCTCACTTTGAACACACTTATCCTGTCATTCTTGCCATTCACTGAAGAAGTTCTGGAAGTCTTCTTTTATGAGTGTCTTTAAAAAGTGTGATCAAAAATTTGGTGAAAGCTACTGCAGAAGGCTGTCTACTGGAAAGGCAGGCTTATAACAACATTACAATGTGTCTCATCTGTCTTATTCACTGGGTCTGGCACTGCACAACCTCTGGCTTTTTCTCAAAGTCCAGTGACCATGAAAAGTAAACACTTTGAATTGATTCAGCACATCAAGGCAGCCATAACACCACGGTTAATGAAGACACTCATGAAAAAGGACTTCCAGACCTGCTTTAGAAAGTAGCAAGACCACTAGGTGTGGTGCCACACACTTTTAATCCCAGCACTAGAGAGGCTGAGGCAGAAGGGTTGCCAGGAAGGTTGCCAGGTATTCAAGGCCAGCCTGAACTGCATAGCAAGACCCTACTCCAAAAAAAAAAAAAAAAAAAAATGGCAAGACCAATGGAATAAGTGTGCTTTACATAAGGGGGAGTATTTTGAAGGGGAATTAATGGCAATGTATCTTTTACTGCAATAATTTTTCAGTTTAAACACATCATATATTTTGATTTTTACCTCCTATCTGCCACCTTCAGCAAACTCCTCTTCTTACAACTACTGTCTCAAAAGTTACCCTCCTCTCTATCACATAACGTGACGCTTAATTTTCTCTGTGACATAGTTTCAGTTATTTTTCTCTAAGTTAGAAGTGACTAATTACTTTCAAACTGTATTACAAGTATATTTTTATGTTTAAAAGAGGGTGCATAATGGTAGAATACTTGGAGAGGAATTTTAGGACAGGTTAATTCCTTGCATGTACAGTATATGACCATGTTTAGTTCATCGCCAATAAGATCAGTGCTTCTAACTTGCAGGTTGTCAAAAATACACAAGGCACCTCCTCCCCAGTGATGGCTCTCACAGAGGATCAATAGCTGCAGTTAAGCAGGGTAGCTTCTGTTTCTAAATCAAGAGCTGCCGCGCAGTCATAGTCGCTATAGAGGATGTCTGTAGTTTTAACTCAGTATTACAATCCATTGTCCCTTTCAGATAAAAGTGAAAACATTTACAGATTTCTTTTTTACTTGGAAATAAAAAGATTGTGTGTCTCTAGGTAGAGCAATCTTAGGTGCTGTAACATTAGTGCGCTGGCTTACGGAAATAACCTCGCAGACTTATCAATCTTGAGAGACTGTAGATATTTAATCTACAGTAAGTTAAAATCTAATAAAATTTGTTTTTCTTTCATAATAACCAAAGTCATCTCTGAAACATGTCTCAGTGATAGTTGATGGCTGTATATAAGATTCTTCATCTCAGGTAGTGACCATCTGCATAATCTCTTATTATGTCCCAGAATAATTGAGGTTTTCTTTTGGCTTCACACACTGCTTCTTGTAAAAAGCCTTATAAAGTCCAGAACAAATAGAAAAAGAAATTTTTGAATACCTGAGAACATAATAATTGAATTCTCACACTTTGTCAGAGGTTATTTTTCTCTCCTTTTTACCCTACTTTTGACCTAAATTTAACAAAAACTTAACTGTCCCATTTTAATAGAGAAAAAACTCTCAGCAGCACATTCCACTCTAAAAGTAGAAGAAATTGTGTTTGATCTTTATCTGAAGCCAAATATGCAAAGCGAATGATCTAAAAGAGTATAACGTGAGCAAAATTTCTACCTGGTGTTCAATTGAGAGCTGTGTCCTTTGAGAGAACAGCACAGTGGAAGACGGTACCCATTGTTATCAGGGATTTACTTTCTTTGTATCTTAAGCCACTGGAGAGAAAACATGATCAGCTTCCCTAAATCACATCTAACAACCTTTTCGGTAAAAGATAAAGAAAACTAATAATAATACCAGCCCATACAGAATGCCGGTTAATGTATCTCAAGTGTGCCTTAGAAGCTTCTCTCAATTCAGAGCTGTTAACCAATGTTAAAATAGATTTTCTTTTTAACTCTTCAAAACTCTACAAGATTCTGTAGATTCAGTACCACCATATTCATTCAGTAGACTTTAGAGATGTAATATTCGGTTGTGAGAATCTCAGCCTAATCCATACTTACTCATTTCATCCTGCACTCCCGGGTTATCCCTTGTCATCTCTGCCTGGCAAAGCCCTAGCTGTTCTGCAGGTGTGTCATACCTGCCCATTCCATTCAGCCTTTGCCAACTGCACATCACTTTATCTTTAGTGTTAGCCATCTTTCAAATCAGGACACGTTTTATAGTGGAGTTACAAACGTCTCTCCGTGACCAGATCATAATTTCTTTGAGAGCAAAGACTCTTTTGCTCATCTTCATCTCTTCTCCAGTAGGACCTGGCAAATAACCTTGCATACAACAGGGTCCTAGTAAATGTGTAGTGATAAAATGAAATAAGCATCCACCCAACTGCATAGTAAGTGAAAGTGATACCTTCTATATTTCTGAAATCCTGATTAAAATTTTGCAATCATTACTATGTAAGACAACAAATAAGTGCTATGTAGCTTTTTGTTACACAAGGGAATTAGGTATCTGTTTCTCTTTAATTTCATACCTGCCACCCTCCATCGGGGGGGAACAGTGAATCTCAATTTAATTAATTATTCAATCATTAATTCCTTTTTTCAATTCCAGCACTGTATCAAGAGCTGCCTCCAGAGGTAAAGGAGCGATCTCGCTCTTTGACCCCCAAGGAAAAAACCAAAACAGAAAAACCTTCAGCTCCTCAAAAGGTAAATGTTTTCAAGAATATGTGTTGCTTACGTACTTTGATATTTTTCACTCTTCCTATATAAAATACTCCTTTATTTTTTCCACCTTATAATTCTTCACTATTTACATTATTGTTTCTTTTGTTCTTGATACTATAATTATGAAATATATAAGGCAAATTTCATGATAGTTATTTTCTAGATAAAGAAACTGAGGAGGCTCAGAGAGATTAAAGTAGATGTTCAAGTTGCAGCCAAAGAGATGGACGAGGACCCAAAGTGAAACTTGTGTCTTTAAGTGTTTCTGCACAACACTTGTTTAACTGTGTAGCGTAGAAACACTGACACTACTATCAGCCCCATCTGGGAGGGACATATTTGTGCCAGAGATCACTGAAGCCCAGTTTTATCTTATTTGGAACATTTCTTCTACTTCTAAAACACTTTTAATATAGAATAAATATGGATGTGTTATCATGGATATTAGTCTGCTATCAGATTCCTCAGAAGCACCAGTCTACAGTCTTCTGATGTCAGTAGCACTTCAGTAGAAAAGTTTAATAAGCACTATATTATCATGTACTGCCTATTAAACTTGTTTTATTATGTGACATTCGATCTTGCCTTGGACTGGGTAGCTTTACTACTTCTTGACTCTTTATGAACTTACACACCAGTGTATGTCCTGTACCTATCATTACAGTGTCATGATAAGGTTTTTTGACAGCCATGTGTCATTTAGTCATTCAGCACATATACATATATATACACATACATATATATACATATATATACATATA